CTTGAAACCACAGGATTTACGCTTGTTCGGAACGCACTACCCGTAAGACAGCGCAATGGGACGGAAGTTGGGCGCAGTCCCTACACACCCAAAGTCAAATATTTGGTCGGAGAACGATATGCAGATGCGACTGATACACAGGGGCACAAGGCAATACTAGAAAAGGGGATGCAACTGTCAGATGACCTGGCTGTTTTCAGGTTTAAGGTAGTCCCTAAAGACGGCATTCAGCCGTTAAGGATCCGACCAGGCCAAGCTATAGTGCTAGATTTCATGGACTGGATTGGTCCACCGCAGTACCAGCATATGGCGGATTCAGCACCTGGGTCGATTAATGATGACCGTGTGCGAACATGGACAGTATCTAGCGCACACGAAGATACCGATGTCACATGGTTTGAATTAACAATGCGGGAGATGATGGGTGGTGTCGTGACAAAAGCTCTGTTTGATGTCTTGAGGAATTCACCGCCAGATAGATGGGATTATGCTATTCCTCTCGAGGGAGATGTTGTCACGGATATTGTGGGTGTAACAGGGGATTTTGCATTAAATAAAAAGGAGGTCAACCTGCTGCTAATTGCTGGAGGAATCGGGATCACGCCTATTCTAGCCATACTCAAAGCACTGGGTGCACGCGAGAACACCCCACAAGATGAGATTGTGCTTGTGTTATCAACAAGAGAGCCGGATGTCATGCTTACACTCATCAAAATGGCTTTGGATAAGGTTTCATCGGCTGTCAAGGTAAAAATAGATCTATTCACCAGTCACTCTGTTAACCCAAATACCCGAACGCCAAACAAACGATGTACAAGCATCACTATATATAAAGGTCGAGTTGGACAAGAGTACTGGAAAACCAGCGCCGCAGACAAAGACGTGGTCATATGTGGACCCAAGGCCTTCGCAGATGCTGCTGTGGATGGATTGCGGTCCATCGGTGTGCCAAACGAGCTAATTCAGAGGGAGGGATTTTATTAAGCTCTATAAAGAGTATCGCGAGGGTTATAAGGATTTGAGTCCTTACAATACAGCAATAGTTTAGATAAAATGATCGTCTGAATTCTATCAAAGTGTTGGTAACAAAGAAGGTACCAGTATCTGAGAAACTCAAGTCAGAATCTAAAGATATTACCCCCTAGTCACACATTACAAACCTCCTTTGTAGTATCCAGGCTACAAAATAGACTTCAGCGGACCACCGGATGTTGATACCATGGTGGCTAGAGTCTGTATACATTTTGTCGATATTTTGACTGATGGAGTGGCAACAAGGGACAGTTTGCATCGCTTGGGTCTCAATGGGAGGGCTCACCAATATGTAGAATTCCCAAGTATGAGGTACTCATATTTACTAGTTATTTTACGTTATCTGTGAAATGTAGGGACTAATCCACTTCGACTGTGCCAACCAGGACCTGTTATGCTACGCTCTACCGTATTATTCAGTCTGATACTTTTTTTTTCTCTGTTCTTTTTCGTCTCTTTCTTCTCTTTCTTCTTTTTCTAATCTTTTTAAGTGGATTTTTAGCTCCTTTTACAATTAGACCTGCTAGCCAGTATATAGTGCAGATCCAGCCATAATGACTCCAAGGAACAGCACACCCTTTCGGCCAGAATTGGCCAAGACTGTTTGGTCGCCAAAAATATGTTTTTGCTCGATCATGACCCCGCTCGGTATACGAAAAGATGCGTGATGGCGTGGGTGGCAGATTTGGTGTGGTCTATCTGGCTAAAGTCGAGGGGGAACCTGGGTGGAGCCTGTCGGAGCACTTGTGAACTCCGTCTGATCATGCCCAATATAACCAGCCGGGAGGCACCCCGCTTTAATATATACGGTTTCTTGGCAGACACACTAGCCTAATTCCACGGATCGGTCGACGATACATCCGTTAAACTGGGTAATGAGATATCATGTAATATGCGAAGTTGTGAGAATGCCTATTTACCCGGGCAGGGCTATAAAGCTGGCCCCTTCGAGAGGTGAGTTCTATTTGCTGACCACGATTGTCTGGATAATTTGATACGAGTCTGAAGGTCTTCTGCACTCACTGACGCCAGAAGAAACGTACAGTTGAATCGGCAAACATGCGGTTCCGCGATGGTGAGTAGCGGACCTTGTCGGAGGAGCTTTAGCAAAAGATCCGCCTCGACCGAAGAGTATAGTGAAGTAGGTGCTAACTACAGACTTCAGGAATGTGGCTGGTCGACCCCTCCAAGTCGCTTCAATATGCCGAGGATATCTACTCCATCAACGCTTCGCCTGACAACCGCTCGCTGAATCTGCTCTGTCCGACCCGCCACATCTTCTCGCGCGGCAACACCCTGAACCTCAGCACCCTGCACATCAACCTCGAGTCGCACTTCGACGGTGTGATCTCTCTGGAAGTCCAGCACTGGCTGGGTGCCCGAAAAGGTACGCCCGACTTCGAGTTGTTTCCAGATGGCGAGGGGCCCAAACTCAGTGAGGAGCGCATTGGCATCTCCAAGTCCGAGAGAGGAACAACACTGAAGGCGGGCGCACTGAGCGTAACGGTCAGTCCAGACCAGCACGATTTCTCGATCCGCTTTCACTCTTCGGACGACTACGACCGGGAAGTCACCAGTCTACTCAACCGTAGCGTTGGCCTGGCGTACGACCCGCCGATCAGCAATGGGAAACAGGTTGAGGATCTGGTGCAAGGTCAGTCCGGAAGCAGGAAGCACTACATCTTCACGCAGACTGAGCTTGACATCGGCGAGTCTGTACACGGACTCGGTGAACGCTTCGGGCCATTCAACCGCCTGGGTCAGCATGTCGAGATCTGGAACGAGGATGGCGGCACCAGCTCGGACCAGGCGTACAAGAACGTCAGCTTTTGGATGAGCTCCAAGGGCTACGGCGTCTTTATCGACACTCCGGAAAAAGTCGACTTGGAGATAGGCAGTGAGAGATGTTGCCGAGTGCAGACCAGTGTCGAGGGCCAGCGGCTCAAATGGTTTATTATCTACGGTCCATCGCCCAAGGAGGTCTTGACGAAATACTCGGTCTTGACCGGCCGCGCATCCATGGTCCCCGCATGGTCCTTTGGCCTGTGGTTGACGACATCCTTCACAACAAACTACGACGAGGCGACGGTGACTGACTTCCTCCAGCAGATGTCAGATCGTTCGATTCCTGTCCAGGTTTTCCATTATGACTCCTTCTGGATGCGCGCATTCCACTGGTGTGATTTTGTCTTCTCCCCTGATCACTTCCCGGACCCCAAGGGCTCCATCGCGCGTATCAAGCACGCGGGTCTAACCAACAAGGTCTGTGTTTGGATCAACCCGTACCTAGGACAGGCCTCTCCAGTGTTTCTAGAAGCTGCCGAAAAGGGCTATCTTCTCAAGCGCACCAACGGTGATGTCTGGCAGTGGGACCTCTGGCAGACCGGCATGGGGCTCGTTGACTTCACCAACCCGGAGGCCGTCAGGTGGTATGAAGGCTGTCTGGAGCGGTTGTTTGACGTGGGCATTGATTCCATCAAGACTGATTTTGGGGAGCGCATACCGACGAAGGGTGTCAAGTGGCATGATGAGAGTGTCGACCCAGCGCGCATGCATAATTACTACGCTTTCATCTATAACAAAATTGTATACAATGCCCTGAAGCGGAGGTACGGGGATGGACAGGCCGTCCTGTTCGCCCGCAGCGCATGTGCCGGTGTACAGCGCTTCCCCTTGGTAAGCATCCTGCTACTTGGACCATTATATTACCTCGTCAGATTCTATATCTATGTGCTAACGCAACTCTCAGTGTTGGGGGGGCGACTGCGAATCTACCCCCGCGGCTCTCGCCGAGTCCGTACGTGGAGGTCTCTCAATCGGCCTGTCGAGCTTCAGCTTCTGGTCCTGCGACATTGGCGGGTTCGAGGGCACGCCGCCGCCCTGGATCTACAAGCGGTGGGTGGCATTCGGGCTGCTGTGCTCCCACTCGCGCCTGCACGGGTCTGACTCGTATCGTGTTCCCTGGCTCATTGACAATGACGATGCAGGGCCGCAGGGCTCGACGGCGGTGTTGCGCACATTCGTCCGACTTAAACGGCGCCTTATGCCCTACCTGTATGCACAGGCCGTGCAAAGCACGCGCATGGGCTGGCCGCTCAGCCTGCGCGCCACAGCACTTGAATTCCCGCATGATCCGACCGCATGGGCTGCGTGTGACCGGCAGTTCTTTGTCGGCGAAAATCTGCTCGTCGCGCCCGTCTTCACCGAACACGGTGATGTCGAGTTCTACCTGCCAGAAGGTCAGTGGACTAGCCTGTGGGACGAGAAGAAAGTAGTCTCTGGGCCAGGGTGGCGCCGTGAAAAGCATGGTTTCAGCACGCTTCCCATATACGTGCGCGAGGGGGCGGTGATAGTGATGGGCAAGGAGCAAGGGGAGGGGGGGTTCGCGTATGACTGGTGCGAAGCGCCTGAGGTCAGGCTGTACCAGACGAAACAGGGCGACTGCGCGACAGTTGTGGACGCCTCGGGGAAAGAGGTTGGCACGTTGACTGTGCAGGGCGATGGCTCCCTGAAGGGGATGGAGTGCTTCAGGGGTGATGTGACGGTCAGGAGAATTGAATGATGGGGCTTTGACTCTTGTCGCTCGTCATTGTCTTATAGCATACTTTCTGAAGATTTAGTGGAGGAATACGAATGACAAGTCAAATCCGCACAGGATGTTAAATTCCATTGCTTTGTTCAGAACAGGATTCTTCCCATTTGACCTATTGTCTTCTCAGCCGCTGTTGTCCGTCCAGTAGGAGAGCTGGCGCGTCGTTTATTTTACCACGTGTGTTTACACAACGATACTAAAACGGCTAGCAATTATAATTTATAAGTACCACAAGCAAGTACATATTGCTCTCCACGGTAGAGTGCTTGAATCCCCATCATTTTTTACTTGTTAAATCTTGGATAAACCTTTTCATTTATTGTAGAAAGACGCCACGAGATGTTATTGTGCAACACATGGTAATTTTCTATGAATGCTACCTTTCCTCGCTCATCGCGATAGCAAACTTGGAACGTTGGCGTATCTGGGGTCCATACCTGGACAATAAGAATGCAGCTGGAAGGCAAGCCAGGGACAGAAAGCCCGGTACACTGTTTGCCCAGTGAACCCCTCATCTTTCGTACATATACGTTGTGAAAAGCGGAAACACCGCCCCACAAAGTGATCGCATTACCGTCGCAGCGGCAAGAGCTGAGGCCGAATAGGCCACATAGGTATCGATGAGATAGTTGACCAATGCTAATGAGACACAGATATTGCCACATCCAAACATAGCGATACCCACCATACAAACAGCCCAATGCACCGAGGGAGAATTAGTCCATGCAAATAGAAAGAGACCGCTGGGAATGAAAACTGCCCCAACTTGGGCCGAAAGCAGGCGTGCTTCCGGGGGGCGCTGGCCGCTCTGGGATGCTCTAAATCTTCTTGCGTATTGACGGTTGATGAAGACCATAAAAGCTGTTGCAAAAAACATGCCTATTGCAATGGAAATGAATGGAAGGTCAGCAACACCTGGGCTCCATCCGCGGACTTGCTGGAAAACGATAGGTAGTGCTGCTAGCAATAGATAGGTGCATCGTAGATGAAAGACATGTAGAGCGCGAGGACAATAACTAAAGGCTCTTTGGAGAGCAGGCGCAAAGGACGGCTCGTCGCTTCCTGGAATCTCTTCATTAGAGACCCTGGAGGGTTGCGATGATGATCAATTGTAACATAGAATTTTCCCGTCTGCATCGAGAGCATAGCGGCTCTTCGCCGAAGAAGAACGATGCTGAAGGTTTCGGGAACAGCAACGATACCGAGGATTAACATAATTCCCGAGTAAAATGACAGCAAGCCCTCGATCCATCTCCAGCCTTGAGTCTCCCCAAGGAATCCCCCTGCGATGGGACCGAGGACAGGCCCGAGGAAGGTGGCGCATGAGTAAAAGACCGCGGCAAGTCCTCTCGTTTCCGCATCGTATAGATCAGCCACAACCTCTCCAGAGTTAGTAAGAGGTGCAGCGCCGAACATTCCGGCCAAAGCTCTGAAAATGATCAGCGAAGCGAAATTGGCTGAAACGGCTGCCGCAACATTGAAGATGGTGAAAAGGCTGAAGGTGGTTAAGAACATGATTCTCCTGCCAAACGCCTCACTCAGAGGGGCCCATAGTAGCGGCCCTATCGCGAATCCCAGGACATAAAGCGATAAACCCAGTGTCGCAGCCTCATCAGAAACTCCAAAATGATGACAAATGGCAGACAAATCTCCTGAATAAGCACTCGATGCAAAAGCCACTGAGAGGGTTGACATGCCTGAGATAGCTATAATGATGCCTTTCCTCTCAGCATCATAATTGCGGGCATTTAATGCATCATTTTCATTCCATGATATAATAAACGGAACATCGTGAGTGCCGTTTCCCGGCCAAAGGTGGTTGACGTCTCCAGCAAGTTTCCCAGAGTCGCTGGTACCCAGCACAAAGAAGTGCCACATACCGCACCATGTACCAAGACAATTGTGTCGGAGTTGCATCGCGTTGTCCTGTGAAGCACTCACTATTCAGAGTTTAGCAAAAATGCTACAAGTGAGGATTCTGGCATAGGGGAAAGGGGCAGATGGCTGATATGAACTTTTCAACGTACCCTCTGACGCATTGTATTCCAATATATGTTTTCTTCCCAATCATTGGGAAGTGGGGATGTATGGACATGCCCATAATGCGGCGGCCAGCGTAAGAAGAGCACTGCACTAAACGATAAACAAGTAACATAGCTGGGTTAGAATTTTTCGGCTAGTGCCATAAGCGACTGTTTGCCACCAGTCTTTACGCCAGTTGGAGCTTTTGAGATGGGCGTGGTTAGTGCTAACGCCAAAAATAGCTCTCTGCCTTGGGAAACAATTCAAAGTATTTTTGGTATCGGCCAGCAGAGGTAGCAGGACTCCTACCGTATTCAGAGTTCTCTAGATTGTCGTATCTCCAATCCCTCAATGAATAGAAACAACTTCTGTGGCTCACTTGAAGAGCTAAGTCTGCAACTTTACCAAATTAGGTTAGTCAAGTAATCACTCAGCTTTCGCCGTCAAACATTTGAAGGACGGGCCATGCGGGTCAATGACGAAGTTGTACAGGTTTCAGAGAGCGGATTTCAGAGAGCTTTCATGATATTGGAAACTCGCAAAGTTTTAAATTCCAAGTTCTTTGCACATACGTAAGTAAAGCATCAATCATCTCACTTCCGTGATCTACCCACATCCTTCCGAGCTCTTACCTACCCAATCTATGACCATGGCCATGTTATCGACAAGACAGCTAGGAGAGAATGGGCCACTCGTATCTGCACAAGGTGCGTATCGACCTTGAACATTGCTGTAATGGTATCCCAGACCAATATATTTGAGTCCCTAGGTCTCGGCTTGATGGGGTTGTCTATGTTCTACGACAAGAGACTGCCCGATGAAGATCGTCTGAGCTTCCTGGACTACGCCCTCGCGAAAGGCGTTACTTTTTGGGACTCAGCTGATGTCTATGCTGACAATGAAGACATCCTCGCTAAGTAAGTTTGGATCACGACGCTCTCGCGACATGCCGTTAACCATTTCCTTGGCAGGTGGTTCCGGCGAAGTGGCAAGCGCAGTGATATTTTCCTTGCGACCAAGTTTGCCATCAAACAACACCCCGGCCAGCCATCATCCATCCACAACAGCCCAGAATATGTGCGTGAGGCATGTCTGAAAAGCCGTGACCGACTTGGGTTGAAGGAAGGCGATGCGATCGATCTATACTATTGCCATCGGATTGATCCCAATCAACCGATTGAAATCACCGTTGCTGCAATGGCGAAATTGGTGGATGAAGGCCTGGTTAAGTATCTTGGACTGAGTGAATGTTCTGCTGACACTCTACGACGCGCCCATCGCATTCATCCTATCGCAGCCGTGCAGATTGAGCTGTCTCCGTTCGCCATTGACAGCTTGAAGAATGGTCTGGCGGGTGCATGCCGTGAGCTTGGGATTGCAGTTATTCCCTATTCACCATTCAGCCGTGGGTTCTTAACTGGCAAGCTGCAAAGGCCAGATAATCTTGATGAGAATGATCGTCGTCGCATCTTACCCCGATTCTCAAAAGAAAACTTCGACATAAATCTGGCTATCGTAAGGAAAATCGAGGAGTTGGCCCTGAAGAAGCATTGCTCTGTCGGTCAACTTACTTTGGCCTGGATATCTGCACTATATGACAGAATCATCCCAATACCCGGCACTACAAAGTCTCAAAATCTGGACGAAAACATCGGTAGTCTTCGTGTTGAGCTTACCGAAGATGATATGGAGGCAGTAAACAGAGTTGCGTTCTCAGCGGACATCCAGGGCGACCGTCACCCGAAGAGTATGGTGCCCTATCTGTATGCGGATATAGCTCCTCTAAGAGAGACAGAGGAGTGAGCTCGTCCGCCTAGTATGAACAGTAGAATACGATTCGAATTTGACGGGCATACTCTTTGGTTAAAATTGCCAATGCTTCATTAAACCTGCATGCGGAGTATCTTATCTAGACATGCGACAGGTGTACTTGGCTTGAGGATTCAGGGAACTCAATCCGCGTAAAAACGTTTTCTGCACTTTTATTTTAACCTAAGATCATGACTAAAATTTGGCCTTGTAAATGAGAGGTCCTGAGTAACTGCATGCAGTCCTGCCCTTCGAGGAACCGTTTCTCTTTATAACCAGCAATTTGACGCCTGACGTATTTTATCTACGGCTTGGGTCACGCAGGGAACCTATCCACGAGTTAAGCAAGGCTTTATCTAGAACACCAAGGAACGTCTTCTGTAAAGTAGGAACTATAAAGCCACGGGAATCATGACTTTGAGCTGATATCACAAATCACGGCCAGTACATCGAGCAATCCACACCCCAAAAACCTCTATATTCGCCTAGATAGGTAAAACATATTGTTGAGGAGCGCTCTACAGAAGCAACGAAATGAACAAATGAACAAACAGAAATAAAAGAGTGAGTTGAATTGAGCTATCTAGAAGAGTAAAATAAAATAATATATAGAGATATTTTATATAGGAGGTCTGAGTATAATATATAACTAATTTATATAGATATCTTAATATAGTCTTCTAGATAAAGAAATATATAAAGAGATATTAAATAAAATTATAGATATTTTCTAAATAGATAATCTTTTATATATTAAATATTATTTCCTAGATACTGCGTGGGTGTAATTAATAAGATTATTTCTAGAAAAATCTAAAAATTATAAAATTTCTTTTAATCTAATACTTTGGTAAGACTGTCTGCAGGATTATAAATATTTATAATATATTAGATTAATATAATATTTATTTTAATAAAATCTATTATAAATAAATAATAATTAATTAATTATCTAGTAGACCGCGTGTAGATATTATAATTAAAAATTTATAATAAATTAATAATATTATTAAATAGAGATATCTTATTATTATCTAATATTTTAAGATTAAATTAGAGTGGGCAATGGCTAGATCAGGTCAGGTTATCAGTAATTCTTATATCTGACTATCAGATTAATAGTCAGATTAAGAGAATCCTTATACCTGACTACAGTATAGCTAAAATTAGAATAATTAATTATTTTAACTAGTCTTAATACTAAGACCTGTCTATTATACTTATCTAAATATTAATATAATTAAGATATACTTAGGTTAATTTTTATTTAATTTATTTTTTTATATTTTTGTCTATAAATATATCAAAATCAATATTTATAATTTATTAAATTTATATAATAAAGATAAAAAGACTGTTTTTATATATTATTAATTTAATAAATCTAAGATAATCTTTAATATTAATTAAAATTAATTTTTTTAATCTAAATTTTATTTATTATATAAAATATTTATATTATATATATATATACAGCCCTGTTCTGACAGTATATATCTTATATAATATTTTTTATATTATATAAATAATTTACTTAACTTATTATAGGTTTTATATAATTTTCTAATTTATAATAGTTAAAATATATTTTTAATAAATATTAAGAATCTTTAAAATAAGTATTATAAACTAAATTTATTTTAAATATTTATTTTATTAAATAATATTTTTTCTTTATAAGTTAAAATATTAAATTTATATTATTTTAATTACTAGCAGCTCTGACTGTAAAATATAATCTTTAATATAATTTAAAAAAATTAATTAATATTATATTATTTATATTTTCTAAGTTATTATTATTAATCTAGCCAAGTTTCTAAAAGATCTTATTAGAAATATATTTATATATTATAAAGTATTTTAATTTCCAGATTAATTATTTATATATTATTTTTAATAAATAATACTTGACAGTTACTAGTTATAATAATATTAAATTATATAATATTAAATTTATTAATCTTAATCTAGTTATAGTTTTTAATAATTATATAAATAATATAACTAGCATTGCATTTCACTATAAAAAAAAATAGATAATTATTAATTCAGAAAATAATATAATTAAAATCTGGAATATTAATACAGGCAGCTTATAGTATAATTATATATATAAAACTTTAATTAATAATATTATAATTTACCCTAACTAAGATAAGTTTATTAATATATTCAGATTTAGAATCTAGATAAAAGTATTTATATTTATTAGCTAATTCTTGAGAATAATATTATTATTTATAGTATTAATATTATAAATAATAGACTTCTGTTCTATATTAAAAATAAAAAAATAAAAAAAATACTTACTGCTTATTTTTATTACTAATTTTAAATAATTAGTTTATAGAATAATATCTATATTTAATATATTATCTAAGATACTGAGATAATGTATATTTTTTTAATATATATTTTTTATTTATATAAAAATTATCTTATCCATATTCTACTCTTCCTAAATTAAAAATATTTTATAATATTTTAATAAAATAATATACATTAATGTACAGAAAATAGAGATTTTCTATAAAAGACTTATATAATTAACTTAATAATAAAATACTAATTTATTTATTTTTAACTAAATATATATTACTATTAGAAAAGTTTAATATTTATTTTTTATATTTTTTTTTAGTAATTTTTTTATTCTTGCCTACAGCTTTTTTATCTATTTTCTTATCTTAAAAAATCTTGTCTTTAATAGCTTTATCTCTAGTAATTTTATTTAAAATATTAATTAAGATTTCTTTAATTAATAAGGCCCTGGTAAAGGTATTTTTCTTATATAAAATTTATTAATATTTTAATTTTCTATTTTTATATTAATATTTTTTTTTTAAATTATATTTTATACTTTCTAATAGAGCCATGATTATATTTAAGATTTTTTTTAAATTATTAATATTATTTTTTTACTTCTTGTCAACATCTTCAAGATATAATAATTATTTATTTTTAATAATTTAATAATTAATCTTAATAAAATCCTTCTCCGGTTCTAGTAAGAAAGATAATAAGAATAATATATTTATTATTATTTCTAAAAGAATTTTTTAGATTACTTAATTATTTAATAT